GGTGACAACTACTAAAACATTTGTTAGCGACGTAGGCCATAGATGGAGCTCTACTTACTTGCTATTAAAATCATGTGAAGGTTTTGAAAATTTAATAACTAACTTTTATAACAATAGACACGTTAGAAATGATGACAATGGTATGTTAAATGAATCTGATTGGATTTTAATTTTGAAAGTTAAACGATTTTTGACATCTTTTTATGAGACCAAAAAGACTTTATCCGGCGTTTATTATCTCACAATTTGTATGGTGCTTGAACGCCTTTATATAATTGTAAGAACATTCTATAAATATAAAAATGATCCTGCTTTTAATGAAATTATAATTGTTATGGAATTAAAGTTTAGAAAATATTGGGAAGAACTGTCTATGTTATTTCCTTTAGCATGCGCAATGGACCCCTGATATACTATTTCAGGAACTAAATACGTAATTGATCAAATCAATAAAGCCTTAATACTTGATACACCTATCAACTATAAGAATTTATAGCAAATATTATGTGGAATGTATGATTTATATGCGGAAAGAATGGGTATGGATGTTAGTCGGGTATCCTTTGCACCTATTCCTTCAGTTGAAATTGAAGAAGACGATGTCGAAATAATGAATTTATTTCAAGACATTAATACATTTAGATATGATGCAACTGCAATGTGTTCATCTAGTGCCACGTCGTCTACATTTGCATCTCATCAAACATCGGCCGCAACTCAAAATGCGACGCCTGCCGAACTAATTGATTACTTCAATCATAATGTGTCAATAGACAGAACAATTAAAAAAGTTCAGAAGAAGTAATTGAATTCTGACGAAAGTATGAAAGACTTTGGCCAATTGTTTCTGCAATTGCGAAAGATCTGCTGACACCTCCGGTTAACACTGTTACTTCGGAGTCTACTTTAGTGCAGGTAAAAGGGTTTTGACCGATGTCAAGAGTCGACTGAAAGAAAATGTTTTGGAAATGTTAATGTGCGTGAAGGATTGATAGGATGTTCATTTTCGACTATAAGATAAATAAGCTGAAATTGCATGTCGTTAGGTAAGTGATATTTAATTTAATTATGTTAATCAAAATTATTTATTTTTGAATCGTTAAATTTAGTTTTCTTTAAAAAATTGTACAAGTTACAACAAGTTGTTCGTATACAATTTTTAACTCCGCCTACTTAAAATTGATGTAGTCGGTCTTAAGCCCGAATAAAGGAGGAAGGTTTACATTTTATTTACTTTAAAAAGAAATAAAAAAAATATTTTTCGTAAATGTATTTCAAAAAACAATTCGTTTTCATTAAATAAATATTTTATACTTTATAAAAAATATTACAATATGATATAAATAAAAAAATAAAAAAGTGTCTTCATTAAATTATTTGTATTTTTTTAACACTTTTATTTTTTAAAAATGCATTTTCATTACATTATTCATTTATTTGTGTTTTTCTCTATTTACATATAAATAATAATAAAAAAGACGAGCCCACGAGCCAAAGCTCGGCTCGGCCCAGCCCACATTTCTTGGGTCGAGCCGAGCTCGCCCAAATTCAACGAGCTGAGCCAGCCTCACGAGCTCGGTCAATGGGCCAAGAGCGCGAGCCAAGCACGTGAGACCGGCTCGACCCATTACCACCACTAGGGGGATCATAAATCAGGTATTAAGTATCACCAAATCAATTTTCAAGCCTTAAGTTTAAAAATGCAAAAATCAGGTATTAATTAATTAAAAATATTCTGTTAATTAATATAATAAGGTCACAATTATACAATTATTGGTCACATGTACGAAATTATTTGTCACAATTTATTTATTAGTCATATATTATCAAATTAATTAGTCAGAGATTATTTCGAAATCATAAATCAAAAAATTTATAAGTCATGGATAAAAAAATATAGATCACAGTTTATTTATCAATCACATATTTTTAAATTTGTAGGTCACAAATTATTTTGCAGTCACAAATTATCGACTTTTAAGGTCATAATAAATAGTTGGTCATAGATAAAACTAAATAATTGATCACACATACCAAATAGTGGGTCACATACGACTCTAAATGAATAAAAACCTACAGTGACTCCCTTCAAAATGTATAACCTTTGTCGATCTTATCACCACAGCCACTGCCACCATGGCCACTTACGACCACCCTTACCCCATCACCATCGCCACAACCACATTACCACCATAACATCATCACCAACAAAATTGCTATCATCACACACCATAGCAATCGTAAATATGACCCGTGACCTAATACTTGTGACTTGTGACCACAAATTAACCAAATTCATTGCAAAAAATTACAAAATCGTTGCAAAACCACCACAAAATTAGACCTATGACCAGAATTTCCTACCACGAACGTTAAGGCTACCACTAGAACTACCAATCACAACCTCCCTCCTAGTACTCCATCCAACCCATATCACTCATAAAACTTCTCCTCAGTCGAGGAAGCGACCGACTTAATATCAACAATGCAAGCGTTGTCTCCACATTGAGCCCGATTTTCTACGCACTCCATCTTAACCCCACTTTCCACTTATCTCAAATCAACAACCTTGATGAGCCTTGCTTGTCGGACTCCAACACAACAAGAAGCATCAACACCACTACCACATCCCAAGCAAAATCATCACCACGGCCAGCATGTCACCATTGCAGCACGTCATCACCTTAATACGACGACATGAGAACCACTGCAAGCAGATCTATGTTGTCATGCTGCAGTCATTGCCGGCAACTATTTGATATTTTAGAAGAAAAAGAAGAGAGAAGGGAGAGAGACGTAGACAAAGAAGGAAGGGAGAGGAAATATTAGGGTTGGCGTGGATAGATTATATTAATATTATTATTAATATGAATAATTAAATTAATACCTAATATTTGAACAAATAAACTTCATACAAGATTTATGAATTGTAATTTTTAAACATGTTGACATGTAACTTTTCCATAGAAAGTCGAAAAGTCCACGAACCAGCTCGAGCCAAAGCCCAGGCCAGACCTCAATTTTTGGGGGGAAAAATTCATATTTAAGGTGTATTCTTTACACCATTTCAAAAGTCAGGTAAGAAGTTTGAAAATTCAAAATTCAGGTTTGTATTTAATTAATTAAAATTATTTATTAAATAAATATATTAAAGTCACAGTTAAACAATTAATGGTCACAGATTTTACAGATTTATTTATCAGTCACATATCATTAAAGTAATTGGTCACAGATTATTTCGAGGTCACAAATCGAAAATTTTATAAGTCACAGATTTTTTTAGTCACAGATTATCAAATTTTAAGGTCACAGACGAAATCGTTGAGGTCACAGATTATTGTTTTAGTCACAGATCGTCAAATTTTAAGGTCACAAACCAAATCGTTGAGATCACAGATTATTGTTTTAGTCATAGATCGTCACAGATCGTCAAATTTTAAGGTCCTAGACCAAACTTTATGGTCACCCCTTCCATTGGTCCCATCTAGCACCAATCTTGGTCACAAACCACCACCATCCAATCGTCGATTGCACTGTACCACCGCAACACCACACCCGATCTTGATCCAATTCCACCACAGCACACCAAAAAAAACCATTATCACCGTCTGAACCACACCATCACCACCGCCAGATTCACCACCAACATCGTCATCGTCAGCAATACGGAGATCACCACACTGCACAACACCACAACCACCATCCAGCAGAAAACCCCAAACCCAACACCCCCATCAACTCCACCACGTCGTTGCCACCAGATCCACTAGTTCACCACCATCCCCGTTCGCCGCCATCACCGAGCCACACAACAACCACCGCACCACACCACAACCACCACCAAACACACCACCCACGGGCCATGACATAACAAAAATCCCCAAACCCCCAAACACACCACCCACGTGTTTACCAGCAAAACTACAGATCCGCGTGCGAGGCGTCGACGCTGGAGTTGCACGAAGCGCCGATTGCTCCTTCAATCGACATTTTGGCAATTGGCAGCACATCGCTTACACCCCGACGCTACCAGCTGAGAATTACAGCAGCCTCCACTGACGACCACCACCAACACACCCCGACGCCGCAAGCTGAAAACTACAGCAGCCTTCACCGAACAACACTACCACACCCCAAAGCTGCCAGCTAAAACCACAGCCTCCACCGACCACCACCACAAGCAGCCTCCACCACTAGCACACCCGATCCGCCACTGCAGCGACTGCACCGGAGAGGGGCGGTGACTGGCAATTAGATGGAATAAAGTTAGAGAGAGAGAGAGAGAGAGAGAGAGAGAGAGAGAGAGAGAACAAAAGGGATGAAAATACTAGGGTTTGGGAATTCAATTTCAATATTTAATATTTTATTATTATATCAATACTTGATATTTGAATTATGAATCTTAGTCCCTGATGTTTGAATTGTGATGTTCAAAGACCTGGAATTATGTAATTTTCCCATTTTTGGGAAGAGCCAAGCCTTGTGTTATTTACTATTTTTATTTTTAATTGAGGTGAAACTTATCACTAACAATAGTGAGGGCTCAAACTTATAGGGCTCGATCTTTTTGGAGACGAGTCGAGGCTTAGTGATAATTTCACTTCAATTGAAAAATAAAAATAGCAACTAAAAAAATTTTCTGTGATGGCAGAAAAAATGGATTGATTTCCTTTTAAAGACTTTCTTGGAAGTCAGGACTAAAAAGGACATTTCATTCTAGTTTTTTTTCCCTTACCTGAAAATTTGATATAAAGATTCCATTTTATTCTTTTTAAAATTGACAAAGCATTTGATCGACTCTATCTCGTCCCCTCATTGACTAACTCTTACCAACCGGTTCCTTGTTTTCCAAGTTGAACCGACCTGTCCAATCCGATTTTGAAACCATAGGTCATAACTTGGATAATAATTGTTGGGGGCAAATTTCACAAAATTTTAATTGTGTGGCAAAAAATTGATCACAAGGATTTTTTTTGAAAATTTTGGAAAAAAAAAATTACGCAAAATATTGAATTCTCAAATTTAGGATGGGGGCAGGTGAAACCACTGATGACCCCACTGCCCCACTGTATTTCCGCCTCTAGCCATATTTCATACAAATAGATTTAATTCTAAGCATTACTCATAGAAACTGTGACATGGATACACATAAAAGGTCTGGACAAAAATGGCAATCTGCAAAACATGGAACAAACTCAACTAAATATTCCAACATCAATCTAAATGAAGAGATCCCGAGGGGCATGGATAGATCAATCTGATTCTAACCTTGCAATATATTGGTCGTAGTATTTTGCAGCTCGTTCCAAATCTCCAAGCTCAGTATAACAATCAGCTATTGCTCCATACGCTTCTGTATTTCCCGACTCCTCTCCTTCTCTTTGAGAAATTTCCAGAACCAAAGTGTGGTACTTGATTGCTTCCTTATACTTACCCTGCCGTTGCAGCGATGCCCCTAAAAGATGAATAATAAGCTTCTTACAAACAAAACTATATTAAAAGAACAATAACTCAGGGCACATTGTACTATGAGAAAAAAAACCCCAAAAAAGTCCAACTAGAATAAAGAAATCTATGTAAATCTATGATGCATCAACACGGACACATTCGAAAAAGTATTGGCATGACACGTCACCTATACGTTGATTAGATCCTTTATAATTTTTCATTTATATAGTATACATTTAGTTTTATACCCATTACTAACTTTGAAATCTTTTAAATATGAGTAATTATTTGTTATTTAATAATAATTTTAAGTTAAAAATATATAACATTCAGATAAAGAAAGAAAAATGACCATGGTAGAGCGTCCGATGAGTACTGGTATTTGACACGTCCGACATGGACATTCCACCCAATTTGAAGTGTCTGTGCAATAGAGGTGTAGATACTTTGAACCTCCCTCATACCCACCCACCGCAGAACATTGGAGGAAAATGATGGTTGTACAAGGCCACATGGGCCCTGTACTACAAGTGGCGCCCCCTATAGGTTTTTTTTTTTGGGGGGGGGGGGGGGGGATGTAACGCATAGGTTTTTGGGGTGGGGGGGGGGGGAATCGATACTATACATCTGCATAATTTTAAGGTATCAAATTAAGCAGTTGTATATTTATATAGCATGATATTTCCAGCAAACCAGCATCATTAAAGACATGAAGAACAAAGATCTTAAACAAGAAAAGTGACATACCTAATCCCCTTGCAGCCTTCTTTTCTTCAATCGGATCCTTTAGATTCTGGGCAAGCTCAAGTGCTGACTTGAACTCTGAAAATGCCCTCTCAGGACCTTGATTTCTCAAAAAATTCTTCCCATTTTTCAGATGAGTTATTAGCTCTTGCTTCCTTGAATCCACAATCACTTCATTGTCTGCTATCCTTCCACTAACAGGAGCATAGCTTAAACTGGGTGCGTAAGATTCAATCTTAGCTTGCCTTCTCAAAGCTGCATTGATCTGGCGCAGCTGTTCATTCAGTCGCTGCAGTTCTTCTTTTCTCTGCCGTGCAAGTAATCCTGACAAAATGAATAGTTGAAGGAATTAAAGGCTAAGCTTAAAAAATTACTTCATGCCTTGGCTGGATAACTTATTCTTTTTCTTACTTTTAAGAATACATCTTTTTAAACTAACTCTTACCTTACAGTCAAAAGTTACTTCCTTGCCTGGATAACTTATTCTTTTCCTTACTTTTAAGTTTACTTCTTTTTAAACTAACTCATACCTTACAATCAAAAGAAGTAACTTACTCGTTTCAAATTTTGATCAGAATTATTTATTTCTTTTAAAACTTACATATTTTTTAAACTTAGCCAAAGATGCTCTATGTTATAGACGAAAATGGATGGAATATGATTAGTCCAAATTTGTAACTACTTGATTAGAGTCAAGTTTGCATGAATTTGCAAGTGCTTTACCCCCAACGGTAGCTCCTATAAGGGCAACAAAAAGCAACAATGGCATATTGAAAACAGAATTCTCAGCTACACATGTTTCTGCAAGTGCTTCTGGAGCTGTAGTAAACATCAATGCATTTGCCATGATAAGCGCGGTTGCAGGGAATCTGGTACACACTTTTTCCTGCCAGAGTTATATTAATGGATTAAAGAATAAAATGGGAGTTCAACCAGTGCCATATTTAGATACATTACCAACTACAAGTACAAGAAAACAATGCACGAGATATACCAGGAACAATTGGACCATTTACATTTCTGCTTGGGGATTTGGCTAGTTCAATTCGAAGAAATAGAGTAGAGAGAGAGAGAGAGAGACATATCTTCCGCTTATTTATTTCAGATTAAATAAAGCTAAAGATTTTGTTATCAACTAATGGATTAAATTTTTAAGCCCCTGTTTGGTATAGATTAATTTCAAATTTTTAGTAGAAGTTGATAAAATGTGTGATTATAATTAATTATTGACTTGTCTTGAGAATTTTATCAGTGTTTAATCTACACCAAACAAAGAGTAAATATAATTTCTAAAATCTAATCCTAAAGCCCTTTTCATGCTGTAAAACATCAGAAAGTTTCTTCTGCATATTCTGAAATACAATTAGTCAATGAATGATGTTTTCACACTCTCAAATAGCTTGAAATTTCAAAAAATTCATATAGTTATATGAATAGATCATTCTAAAGTCCATCTTAATATCATTTCAAGTAATAATATTCACATTTCAATTTTCTAAATATATATATATATTTTTTTTAATCCAAGGAATTCAACTCAATTTCTAAAGGATCTCATATTTATCTCAACTTATACAAGGTTAAACGGCTAGAATTGGCAACTTCTAGGAGCCTAAACCACCACCACCAAATTCAGAAGCTCAAATCAAATATTAGCTACTTGGGTCATGTACTTAAACAATTACCATATTGCCAATGTGGGTCGAATATTGTTCAGTCCCTAGTCCTGTCCACAAGCGCGGGCTCATCACAATACATTGAACCAAAAGCAGGTTTATCTAAACTCCAAAGTTATTATTATGGCCAAACGAGTTTGAGCTTCTTTAGAAGTTAATCTTTTTCATTTTTGGGTTTTCTAGTTCTAAAGCTTAACTTTTTTTAACTCTACACTTACTTTCCAAACGAGTAAATTTTGAAGCTTATCAGAACATGATCTAGTTCAGGATGAATTGGGTCATGATAACTAGTGAGGGCCTAAACTTCTGCCCAAAAACTTCACCTCCGTTGTTTGCATTCAAGATCCTTATAGACAACTCCAACCATTCCAACTTAATTCTCGTGGATTGGGTTGCTATAACCTGTTTTTGGCCCAAGAGATTAAATTTTTTATTTCTTTTTTTCTAGAACCATTCACTCTTCTTCCTCATGGCTTCCCCTTATTGTCAAGTCATATCAAAATATAAAGTAATTAACAGCTATTTTTCCATCTGAATCCAATTCATATCTGTTTTCATATTTCATTTTCTACAATAATGAGCTAACCTCAAAAGCTAAACACAATTCATACCAAAACGTCAAAATCATATTTACGAACAGTAGTTTACAAAATACCTAGGTGGACATTATAAAAAGATTTTATTACTTCATAAATAAAATTAAACTAGAACGAACCAAAAAATAAGTTTTGCAGAAGAACACATGTACCAAACTCATAAAGTAACAAACTACCTCTCATAAATCACCTAGAAAACAAGAATTTCACAATTCTAAGAAAAACTAGAAAAGATAAATATAAAGTATAAACACAACATCCATCTAATAATCAATTTTTGGAAAAACCCCAATAAGGCAATAACTTGTGGAAGTACCTCGAAATCAACAACAGTGAGCACTTCTTGCTTAAAGACTCCATCTTTACTTTCTCTCCTAAGATTTGTGCGGTTGAGAGTGTCAAAGACTGTGCAAGGAGAAATGGGTTTTGCATATTGTGGGGCTCTGAAAGCGGTTGGGAAGAATCTGCAAAGGGAGTGTGGATGGCGATGACTCCATGAGAGAAGCCCTTGCTTCATCAAAGTACTCATCCTTTTCCTTCTATCTGTTCTGAGTTTATGACTTGTTTTTAGAGCAAGATTGTTTTTCTTTATCTTTATCTTTTTTCTTTTCCATTTTTTTAAATTCTGTATTTTATTTTATTTTAAGAAGAGATGGAATTTGAGTACGAGGTGGGGGTGATTCGATAAAGGAAAATACTATTTAATGGCCATTTTTTTTTTAAATTCACAATTTCCTTTTTTCCTTTTTAACTCGATCGAGATATCCTAATGGCCATTTTTTTTTAAATTCACAATTTCCTTTTTTCCTTTTTAACTCGATCGAGATATCCTGTAGTGAACCCCAGATCGAAATAAAATAGGAAATTTTTTTTTATAACTTTATAACTCTTTTTACGAATAAATTGTTGTGATTATATTGTTCAAAACCAACAACTATATAAATAAAATAAAAAAATTGGTTCATAAGACCGCATGACATATCTCCATGAGGTTGCATGGCCATATGCCGAAACCATGGGTGGGTTCATGTGACTGTATGGGTTTGTACCATACGGTCACACGATAGGATTTTTGATCTTACAAATTTGAAATTAGTGACTTTTCACTTGATTTTTTGGCACCATTTTGTACTTCTGGCTGATAACTATATATAGGAGAGCCATGTTTGAAGGAAAGATGTTAGAAAAACATCTTGCAATCCATAATTTGTCCTAAGAACAATCAAAATCCCTATTTACATTCATATTCAACCATTGTGTTCTTCAAGTTTTCAAGGATTTTCACTTGTGCTTTGGTGATTAATTCTTGTCAAGGCTTGTTAAAATCCTACAAACCATTTGCCATCAATTTTCGAAACATCTCAAATCAATAGGAGAATGGGCAAATATCGTTTGAGGACAACGATATCGTGTTCAAGTCATTCGTTTATACAAGTTTGTGATTATCTTGTTCTTGGCGTTGCCGGTTGATATATCGTGACTTCTACTCCAACTCGGTGAAATTTTTACAACAATCTCAAACGATAATTCCTGCAATGAAAAGCGAGACAACGATGGCGACAATCAAACTCATGAATCAAGACTTATTGCGATTAGATCGGTTCGATAGAACGAACTTCACTCAATGGAAAGACAAATTGAAGTTTCTTCTCACTGCATTGAAGATCTTCTACATCTTAGATCCGAATCTTGCGCCATTACCGGAACCTACAAATGGAGAAACCGAAGCGGTGAGAAATGAAAGATAAAAGCGCCAAGAAGATGAATTAATATGTCGCGTGTTGACCTCCAAAAATGGCTCCTCCACGTGGCCAACTTATAGCTACTCCACGTATTCGTCCCTGCGAAATGAACAAATAGTCAGGCGCACACGGCCGGAACCGACGGGGGTGGCGGCTGTATACACTCTGACGGTCAAGTCAGGTTTGGGTGGTCGGAACAGTGCCCTGGGGCTACACAAATCAATCAATAAAGGGGGAGGAGAATATATAAACTTGTTATGGAATGCTATGTATTGAGAGTTTCATTACCTTTGCCTCTTGCCAAACTTCGGGTATTTATAGGTGGTATGAACCGTGGGATGTGGAACACGTGTATACATCTGACGGTATGAAGCGTCTGCTCATAGGCGTCAATCAGCCGCTCTTGTAGAGTGGACGGACAGTTTGTTTCCCCTGAGTTGAATTGACATAAAGTTGATAAGTCACATCAAATAGCCTCATGGGGACGTCAGATCAATTTAAACCTTATATGTAGAACAAATCTTAAATTGGCGGCGGATCTTCTAACCGGGGTCCACCTGAACCCGACCTCGGAGGTGGGATACTTCGGCAGATCAGTAGTAGGAATCGATGTATCACTTCGGAGTGAGATGACACTTCGGTATCGAGGCTCGTAAAATGAGGCGTAACAGTGGTCCCCCAAATCCGGGAATGAATATTTATATTATGCGTGGATTTGTTTTCCTGACTGGACCGCGGCGTGGGGGTAGCTGAAACTTTGTAAAGCATGGGAGGAAATGCAGCGACCGAGGCGATGAGCCAATGGGGCGTTCGCATCGGGTGCGTCCAAGCTTTGTAAAGTTGGGGGACTCGTCTCGCACCGACGCGTTGGCAGGAAAAGGTCGACGCGTGGGGAGATGGCTGAAACTTTGTAAAGCATGGGAGGAAACGCACCGACTGAGGCGATGAGCCAACGGGGCGTTCGCATCAGGTGCGTCCAAGCTTTGTAAAGTTGGGGGGCTCGTCTCGCACCGACGCGTTGGCAGGAAAAGGTCAACGCGTGGGGAGATGGCTGAAACTTTGTAAAGTATGGGAGGAAACGCAGCGACCTAGGCGATGAGTCAATGTGGCGTTCGCATCGGGCGCGTCCAAGCTTTGTAAAGTTGGGGGAGGAGATCATCCGAGGCGACCCAAAAGTCCAATGATTTGACAACTGTTGCGTGTTTCCAAGGTGACAGTTGGGTACCATGCCCATTCTCCTAAAAGGCTGCTGCGGCTAGTAATTATTATTGACGGCTGTTTGTAACCGAGGCGACGCGTTTCAATTTAGCGTGAAAGCCACAGCGACATCTTGGGCGTAGATCAAATCTGGTGTTTCATTTCAACGGCCGGGATTGAGGATACGACAAACGGTTTAGATTGATCGTATTTGAATTCAACGGTGGAGATTGGACTTGTCTTTCCTATAAAAGGTGAACTTTGGGGGTTTATCAGAGTTTCTATCTTTGCCAGACGAAAACCAAAATTTGCTCCCAAATTTTCGGCTATTTCCGGCGTTTTGCAAGCAACTCCGGCGAGAGAGAACGATACTTCTGGCGATCCTGTACCATTTCCGGCTAGGAAAAACTTCCAAACCCGTAAGTTTCAGTACCCATTTGGACTGTAAAAAATTTCTTATCGAATGGCCTCGGAAGGGAGTTCTGGTTTGGGGAGGGGCTTAGAAATAATGAGGGTGGACGAGCCCATTGTGGCGACCTCCTCAGAAATAGTTGGGGCAATAATGGGGGGGAGAACATATGGAAGCGACCAGATAGTCCTCCGGATACTTCTGTGCATTGGGGGGCGTCGGACTACCCATCAAAATTGAGGGAGGCCGACCTGGGTAGACTTAGGACCGAATATAGGATCCCAGACAGTGTAGATTTGATTCTCCCCGGGCCGGAAGAGAGAGCTTGTTACCCAAGGTCGGGCTGTGTGGCCATTAGTAAGGCGATCCTTAGGGCCGGACTTAGGCCGCCTATCCATCCATTCTTTAGGTTGGTGCTTAGGTCTTACGGGTTAGCCCCGACACAGCTCAATCCGAACTCCTGGAGCCAGATGGTGGGCTCCTGGATGTTGTGGAAAGAGGCGTCGTTAGGAGTGGAGATGCCCCTTTCTGTTTTCCAGACCCTCTATATACCCAAGGTTACTGCCGGGGGGGATAAGACCCGGGGTTGGTACTACCTGACGTCATGGGGTTCCCACACTCTATTTGTGATCGATCTGTCGAGCTCCATCAAGGAATGGAAGAGCTTATGGTGCTGGGTAGCGGGGCGATGGGACACAATAGAGTGGGACCCCCTGGCGCCTCTTACAGTCCCGGCCAAGTTTTCAACACTTAGTGAGTATAGTTGTTGCTCTTTTCGTTTCTCTTCGGTTCGGCTTATGTTTAACAGTTATGCTTCCTTTCGCAGGTTCCCTTCCTCGGTGCGAGCTATCGACAGAGGACTTCGACACTATCTGTGTCATTTATCAGCTGCCTCAGAAGAAGAGGTCCTACCACAGGCTAATCCAGAAGAACATACATTTCATCACTCACGACTTAATGGCATCCCAAGGTAATAGGACCGAGGCCCATACTTTTTTATTCCGAACTCCCTATACTTGTATGAATTCCTTATTCGTTTCTTTGCAGATAACTTCAGCAAGAAGCTGCCAGTACGCCCCGACTTCAAGACCATTCAGAAAATGATGGCTGAGGCAAGGGTGCTGAAGGCCTCCTCTTCTTTGTATAAGAAGCAAATGGAGGAGCTGGTGGAGGCCAGTAAGAGGCTTCAACCTCCGACGAAGGAGGAGGTTCAGGAGGATCCAGAGGCTGACCTCCGAAGGAAGGGCAAGAAGAGTGCTGCCCCTCCCAGACGCCCAACTGTGGCGAGGCCACTCCCAGTTATGCGGCAGACAACTATTCCCACGGGGGTGGCCCTCCCCGAGAGAAGCCCCACTACGGCAGAGCCTGTCGCTGCCTCGGACACGGCGCCCCTTGCGGCCGTACCCATTGACCACGTTCTGGGGCAGCAGAGGAGGAAAAGGGCCCGCTCCAGCAAAGAGGTTAACTTCCTCGGCACCAATTCAAAAGAGCCTGTAAGGGAGGTGTTGGAGGCTCTCCCTTCGAAAACAGCTGCAGTGGCGGTGGTCCACAGCAAATATTGGACCGAAGAGTGGAGGGACCACACCGCCTCCTGCACGGCTGAAGACTTGGTGGCGGCGAACAGCGCCTGCGTGGCCCGGGCACTAAGCACAAGTATCCAACTCGAGGGCTTGGTGAAGGATCTAAACTCCAAGAAGGAGGACCTCGCCAAGCGCCTCGAGGAGGCGATGCACTATGGGGACGCTGTGCGAGCTGCCCAGGCCAAAGCCGCCAAAGCAGAGGAGGGGAAGAGAGCTGCTGAGGTCCAGCTCGCTGCTTCGCAGGCAGAGGTGGAGCGGCTGAAAAAAGAGCTCTACGAGGTGGAGTGTCTGGTGGCTGCGGTGACTCGGCGACTTGACCACGCTAACGAGCACCACAAGCTTGCGACTGATGCTCTGGAGGCCTCCAACAGAGAAAAGGCGGAGCTGAAGCAGCAGACAGAGGCCCAATCAGTGGAGATCGCCTCTCTGAAGGAGGAATTAAAGTCTGCGGGGGAGGTGACGGTTCAGAATTTTATCGATCACTTCGAAGACCATCCCCTTTACGACGACTTTGCCAACTTCTGGGCCTCGTGGAGTGCCCAAAGCCTACTAGGTCGGCTGAAGGAGGTGCACCCTCCCCTGGACATCTCTCAACTGGAGGCAGAGTTCGGGGGACCCACTGGAGGTCGGCCTGATAAGGTTACTGAGGAGGCTCCAGAGGCCCAGGAGGCGGCCAGCGCTGAAAT